TATCCCTACTTTACAGATGAAGAAAGTAAGGCTCAGAAGGGTTAAGTAACTTAACAAAACTCACAGTGACAGCATGCAGTGAAACCAGGATTTATATCCAGGCTTCCAGGAGTACAAAAGCCCAGACTCTTAACCACATGCTACCTGAGTCCCTCACCAGAGGTGGCCTCTACCCTCTAGCTGCCATCTGTCACTCCTGCCCATGAGCTACAAGTGCACTGCACACATATATGCAATATATGGGACTGTTTTATATCTTTAACATTTACATATACAAATGGTATTATGCCATAATTACATGTTTGCTACTTGCTTTTTGACTAAACATTGTATTTTTGAGATTCAGCCATGTTAAATACAACTAGATCTAGTTTATTTTAACTACAGTTTACCTTTCCATCATATGACTAAAGTTTATTTATCCGGTCTGCTACTAATAGACCAAGATCCCTTCCTGTCAGTTTTTCATTATTGCAAGCCACGCTACAATGAACGCCCCGACACAGGGTATCCTAACACAGAGGTTCCCAACCTTTTTGGCACCAGGGACTGGTTTTGTGGAAGACAATTTTTCCATGGACCAGGAAAGGGTGGGGATGGCTTCGGGATGAAACTGTTCTACCTCACATCATCAGGCATTAGTTACATTCTTATAAGGAATGCACAACCTGGATTCCTCGCCTGTGCAGTTCACAACAGGGTTTGTGCTCCTATGAGAACCTAATGCCATCACTGATGTGACAGGAGGTGGAGCTCAGGCGGTAAAGCTTGCTTGCCCACCGCTTACCTCCTGCTGTACGGCCTGGATCCCTGGCCTGGGGGCTGGGGACCCACGTCCTAACACACCCATGCAGAAGTCAGTCTCTAGGCCAGGGGCGGATAAACTGTACTCTTCAGGCCAAATCCAGTCTACTTCCTATTTTCGTAAATAAAGTTTTATGGAAACTCAGCCTGCTCATTCATCTACATATTGCCCATGACTGACTTCACGCTATCTAACAGCAGAGTTGAATAGATGCAACAAAGACCACCTGCCTACAAAGCCTGACATACTTACTCTCTGGCCCTTTACTAGGGTAAGTTTGCAGATCCCGCTCTCTAAATATATACCTAGGAGTCACGCAGCTGGGTCTTAGGCTCTGTTCACCCATAACTTGACTGGGTATTGACAGTTACTCCTCCAAAGTGTTGGTGCCATTTTATACTACCATCTGCAGCTTACTACATGTGCACCACACAAACACATACACACAACTTGTTATCCAACTTTTAAGGTTCACCAGCATGACACGTGTTTCACTACTGTCTTCAATTCCCTGATACTGAAAAGGTTGAGCATATTTTCAAATGCTTAATAAACATTCAACAATAGGATATGGTTATTTATTCCACAAATATTTGAGTCCCTATTCTGTCACTGTTCCAGATGCAAGGACTACAGTGATGATCTAAATCGGCAGCAAATGTTTATAATGTCTTTAAGGCCACAGAGTTTGCAATATAATGACAAATAAAAGCAGCATTTATTTATTTATTGAAATGCTTACTGAAAGCTTGCTTTGCATAAGCCGTACATGCAGTGCCACAGGCAGCTGCATCAGACATGTTCCCCTCTCTCTGGAGGGCAAAATACTACATATAGACAAGCATGGTCTCGATGTGTTTTTAAAAAAAGGCTCTTAGGAACTAGATCCAAATGTTAATACAATGGTTTCCATAAAATTATAGGTGATTTTCCTTCTTAAACTTTTCAGTGTTTTCCAAGTTGCTTCCATGAGCATACGTTCCTTTATTAAGACTAGGATTAGGAAGCGATGTCAGTCTACTGGGACCTGATCCCTTTGTGACTGTCTTCTGTGTGCACTCCAGATAAAAAGAGAAGTACAAGAAGGTCTTGAGAAGGCCAGAACACAATGCTGCCTCATAGTCACCTTTGTTCCTTGGGTCACAGTCTTAAGATCTGTCCGCATCACACTCCTGGGAACCAAGTACCCAAAACTAGGAAAGAATGTTTTCCTCTGGTTTGGGCCCTTTGTAAAGTTCAGGTCTCCTTGGCATAAGAACCAACACAAGGCCAGTTTTGCAAGAGCTCTGTTCCTATTACTAGAAATGACCTTGGATCTGGTGTACACAGCTTTGGCTGGCAAAAGCAAGCATCAGACAGCCCATTAGTTGCTCTTGGTAAATAAAGCTGTATAGAGAAGAGGGGAAGAGTCTTAATACCCTGGCTGAACTAATCCCCATTTTGGGAACGTGCTTTTACCACCCTGCCCCAGTCCAAATGTTAATACTTACACTAATCTTTACTTTTCTAATCAATAAAAGAGGTATATGTTATATTCAATATCTATACAACACATTTATTAACCAAAATAGCAATCTGATGAAACTCACTAGTCAAGGAATGTAAGGGTTAAATTCCTGTTGCTGCTGTTTGAATACTTAAGAAAGTAAACTCCGAAACCAGACACCAGACATGGATAAAAGACAGAAAAATAAAATGGTATCAGTACATATTCTTATTTTTGCTCCTACTTTCGGTTTATTAGCTATATTCCAGCATATCTCATTTCCAGTTATATTAAACAAGAGAAAATAAATTCACAAACCAAAGACCTCAAAACATTATACTAAGCGAGATAACAACACAACTTTTTACTAGTGCCATACTGGCAATTTGCAGCGGACCCCCTGCAAGGTCTCTGTTAAAAGACTGCAAAACAGTTACTCCTCTTTTAAGCAGAGAAGCTGTCTTTGAAGGAAGACTGCAGGTCCTTTGCCTTGTACATGATAAAACTGAGCCCAGTAACTGGTGGCATTCTAGTTGACCAGGAAGACAAAAGGGTCATGAGAATAACACATGGCAATATTACATATACGTGGTAATTTGAACCTGCCCTGTCAACTCCTCAACTTAACATGCCTTCTAGGTCCCTCCCACACCACTATCACCTACAGCAAATGGAAGATCACTCATCAGCAAGAGTCTTTAAGGACTAGATAATCTGGGAAAAAATACGTTTGAAAACCATAAAGTGCTATATGAAGCCAGCTACCATTTACCGGGTGCTTTCTGTGCCAGGTAAGATGACATACACTTTCTGTAATTTTCACTTTGTCTTCCTAACAAAAACTTTGCCAAATTGTCTCATTATCCTCAAATGCAGTTGAGTGACTTAAGTTTTACACCTGATTAGCCACAAAAGAGGATTTCGACCCAAAGCTTTTCCAAACACCAGCCTGTCTCATCAATGTAAGGAATGACTATGGTTAGTAATTTCAAATTTAGAGTAACAGAGAACCTGGCATCTCTTTTTAGCACACACCTGGCACCTCTTTTTAGCTAGGGACATGCAGGGACTCAGTCGCTGAAAGTCTCTAACTGGGATGCAGGTACCCTAAGTCACTCTCTAGAAGGAACAGGTACAGCCTTCCCAGTTCTCCACCAACCCTGACTATCCTGGCCTCTTCCTCCTCCCCCACTCAGATAAGACTGGCGAATGCACGTGGGGTACTTGGAAAAGATGCTAATTAGCTGCAGCCTCCCGTCTCCTGGCCTGATCCATCTGGCCCCTGGTCCCCTGGGCTCCGAGGCTGAGCCAGTGAGTTAGTCCAGCGCCCAGGAGCCAGGGCTGCTTCTTTTCCCCACAAACCTCTCCAAGCCCTGGCCCACATACATTCAGCCCTGTGTTTGAGTATCTAAAGCCAAATGTCATGACTTTTCCCCGACAACACAGATCCCGACTAAGACCAGCCGACAGCAGCCCCAACTCTTTGCTTTGTAGCAACCACAGAGGATGGTGCTTGCCACCCTGAGCCGTGCGCCAAGAGAGATCAACCTCCGACCTCACTAGCCTCAAAGACAACTTCAGTCCTCTCCCCACCATCGACAGCCCCAGACCGTTACCCACGAGCAGGCCAATGGCTTCCAACCTCCCCAGAGTGTCCGCGAAAGTACCTATCTCACAGCGGGTCCTTACTGAGTTTCCTAACCGTGCAGAGGAGTCAGGCTGCAGGCCGCCCTCCTCCGAGTCAGTCATTGACAAGCCGCCCCGAAACGCCTATATTAGCTCGAAGTGAGGATAACTGAACCCTCAGGACTTGACCTACTGCTCAAGTTGGCAACAGTAGAGAGCCCCAGATCCTCAAGACTCAGTCAAATCAACCACACCTGCAGCCCAAACTCTACTCCAGGACAGTACTCCTCGCCCTAACCCGGCTCGAACCTCCAGACAGACCCCAGCCGATGGAGCCCCGCTCTCCAGCCCGGCGCGGCGGAACCCCTCGGCCTCGTGCAGCGATGCTCCTGGGCCCAGGGCGGAGGGTGCCTGCCCGGCACACTGGCCTGACCTTGTCGGAGTTCGGGGTCGTCCAGCACGTTGTAGGCCGCGTAGTCGCGGACGCCGTGCAGCCGCAGGATCTGCACCACGGCGTTGCTGAAGCCGCACTGGGGCTGCTCCGGCGTCCCCTTGAGGAAGACCACCACCTTGTCCTTCTTCACCAGCGCGTCCAGCTGCTCCGCCGAGCCGCCGCCGCCCGCGCCCGAGCCCGCCGCCCGCACGCCCGGACCCCAAAGGCCACCGCCGCCCGTGCCGCGCCCCCAGCGGAGCAGAGCCGCCGCCGCTCGGCCGAGGGACCCGCTCATCTCCGCACGCTCGCCGGAACCCACGACAGCCCAGGCACACAGCTGGCCACCCGGAGCGCTCCGCGGCCCGCGGCAGTTCGACCCACCCCCTGGAGACCCTCATTGGACCGGCTCTAAACTGCCCTCCGTGATTGGACAACACTGATCGGCAATTACTCGATTCTACCAATCACGTTGCTCTTCCCGTCCGGCAGGTAGGAGGTGGGCCTTATGCCTGAGTCGCATCCTACTGCCTTACTATTGGCCGTCGGCAACCGCTTTGCTAGTTAATTGGAGAGAATGGATGTCCATCGGGTCACGCTTGCAGGGCAACGAGAGGCAAAACAAGAGGGAAGACGACTTTCCTCCCGTGAGCCAATGAGGCCAGCTGGGATACCCAGAGACCACTGGGAGAGGCGCGGGACTTGCCCGTTCCGCGGAATGCCGGGAAGGGGTCACCTCCCAGTGAAGTTTCCGGTTCCTGTGTCGGCGGTGGTTGAATTGCCATGGCAACGCGGTTGGTGGGCCCGTGGTTCCGGTCTCTTGGGAGGTAGCGGGGCTAGGCCGGGCCAGTATCCGCCTCTTCCAGCTTAGGTGGGCGTCCCTGGGCGCCTGCGGAGCGCCGCGGCCGAATGCGGTTCGTGGTGGCGGAGAGCGGGAGCCTGACCGGGGTTCCAGCGCTCGGGCTGTAGCCTCGGCTCCTGGACTCTCCCTCGGCTCCGCTGCCACGTGGGAGCTGAGGCTCTGGGGCTTCCGCCTCCGGCGCGCGATTATTTCTCTAGAACAATTTTCATTTTTAAAGTTTGTAAAGCGCTTTTGCCTGTGTGATTTCCTCTGGGTTTCGTTTTTCTTCCTTTCTTTTTGTAGAGACGGAAGTGTGGGGGAGGGTGGTCTCACTTTGTTGCCCAGGCTGGTCTCGAACTCCTGGCTTCAAGGGATCCTCCTGCCTCGGCCTCTTAAAGTGCTGGGATTACAGGCGTGAGCCACCGCGTTCGGCCGCCTCTGAGTTTCCAGCCTCGTTGGTCCTCCAGCCTTTTAAGCTGTTGGGCCTAGGATCAGGAAAGGTTTGTTGAATGGGGAACTAAGAAGTGAATTCGTTCGTTCGACAAACGTCTCCTGAGCAGCCGCTGGGTGCTAGGTGCGGTGCCAGCGCGGAATGTCCAGGGAGACCTGGTGCCCAAAGCTTGGAGCCAGCGTGACAAATGAGAAGCAGATACAAAGCAGTGTGGGAGTGCAGAGGAGGGAAAGCAAGCCTCCTTAGGGCCATTGCTTGTTCTGTTCTCCCTTGTTCTTACCAGTGTTTGACAATATACAGGATTTACTAGCTTGGTTATTGACTTCTCTACCCGGCACTCAACTTTATTCACTGCTGTATCCTCAGTGCCTAGGACGGTGCTTGGAACGTGGTAAGTGCTCCTACTGGCGGGAAGAATAAATCCGGAAGAGCAGGACCAGTGGATTTATATAATCTGTAGTCTTGGAGCCGCATGGGGTTGGTAGTACCCTCGAGCACACCAGACTTGCAGAAAAAGCATACTCCAGAGGAAGCTGAGGCATGCCTGCTCGAGAGCCAGCTGTTCCATGTGCAATTTTCCTCTGATAGTTTCTGGTCACTGTTGCCACGGTGATAATGACTGGGCTCTGTCTTTATCTATCCGCCAACAGTAAGATAAGCTTTGCAGTCGAGATATTGTTTAGCAGATGGAGTGTTTTCTGTTGGACACTAAGTACTGCTACAAGTTACTCCTTTTTTTAAAACTTTGAGTATTTTTTTACAGTGTTGCTGGAGGTGATCTGTTTATACTTTGGGAGTGTTCAAATTTAAAATCAGAAAATCAGCACATGTCAGTGAGTGAGTCTTTCAAATAATCCTTCGCCATGAAACCTGAGCCTAGTAAACTATGAAAGTAAACTCGGGACGTTACCTGGAAGTCTCAGTGTCATATTTTCACCTCCATCAATATTACTGATGCTTGCTCATTTTCTAATGTGGGACCTGAAATTTACCAGGTGCTTAAAGAATCTTTTTGTTTTTCAGATTCGTTGATTCCGGGTAAATCAGAGGAACAAACAACATGAACAGAAATATGTAGAAAATGCTATTATGCTGAAGCATAATTGTTGTTTCAGAAGTCCAGCATCTGGTGCACTTAACAATAGAGAATATATTAAATTCTTCCCAAAATAACCTGTTGTTCATGCCTGTGTTTAAGTTTTTTGTTTGTTTTTAAGTAAATATTGGTGATTTGTTGCCAAAAACCTAAACTGTTTATTGCTGTCAACTTAACAAACAGGCTCCCTAAAAGAAAATGGCATTTATTCAGGAATAGAGCATTGCAATGAGAAAATGCATGCTATAGTTAACCGTGTGTATCCTGGGAGATTGAGGAAGACAAAGGTCTTTAAAGGAAAAAGGAGGGTTACATAATTGTTTTGAGGTAATTATTGTTGACTACAAGGATTAGTAACAAAGATGACGCCAGGCCCAGGTTGGACAGGCGGTTGCTCGGCAGGCATTGCAGATGTATTTTTTGTGTAAGGTTGAGATGGCCTTTGTGCAGGATTGTAGTTTTGCAATCTTTTGTGATCGTTTTTGCTATCAGGCATTTATGCTTGCGAACTCTTTGTGACTTTCCCTGTGTCTGTTTTGATTCTGACATCTTTCTCATTGCCCACTCTAAACTAATTCTGCTTTTGTGTTGACTGACATTGGGAGAAGAATGTGCAAACGTATATCCTGAGACCGAGCAGTAATGAGGAGTGTCGTGTTCCTTACCTAATGTATAATATTGGGCTCAGAAGCACTTGTCTTTTTTGTTTGTTCAACGTTGTATTAAGTTGAGAACGCAGCTGCCATTAAAGATTAAGAGTAATCCTTGAGAAGGAAGAGTACAAAGCCTGTGTTTTGCTAAATCATAGTGAAGTTGCCGTGTTTTTGTAGAACATGATAAGAACATAGAGTGTGTGAAATGCTAAGGATATGGAAAAGCATGTTGGTGCTCTTTCAAGGAGCTGTTTTGATAGCATGACCAAGGGCAGGAAACAGATCGTGTATCCAAACCAAGGAAATTGAAACAATACATCTAAATTTAAATTTTTAATAAAACAACCCAAAATATGGTGAAATAGCACCAAACGTCAGTGATCTTAAGAAGCAAAGAAAACAGTATTCGAAATATTTCGTCTAAAGTATCAACTTTTGCCTATATTTTGGCATTTTGGTTTTAAAATTCCTCTTTAGTCCTATGATGAAAACATGACAAAATATACAACTTAAATAAACAATTGTCATCAGTCTGCATCTATGGCCAAATGTTTTGGGAGTTTTGAGTAAATGGCCTGTCTTAGTTTGTGATCGTTTCCTGCGCCGTGGACATCAGTGAAGAGGTGAGGGTGGGAAGTACTCAGAAACTTCTGAGAATCCTGGGATTTGAGTCACAGGATGGATTAAACCCCAAACTAAATAATCATGCCATGTAAACATGCTGACTCAGGCATCCTAAAAATGTTTTTCTTGCGTTTATTTATAGATAAGGCTTTACTATATTTAGTAGAACTCCTGTTTTCTATCCACTTCTCCAAAAACAAATTGACCATTGAATTCATAGTGTAAACCTTCACATATCTGAGATAGCCCCTTTAACAGCCCCAAATGAAGAACTAGAGTTCAGATTATTGAACTGAAGGTGATGCTTTATCTGAGCACTCCACATGTCAGTGTTTCTGTACCTTTCCTTTTTAAAAAAATTATTTTTGAAGAGATGAGTTCTCAGTAGGTTGCCCAGACTGGTCTCCAACATCTGGTCTCAAATAGTCCTCCCACCTTGCCCTCCCAAAGTACTAGGGTTATAGGTGTGAGCCGCTGCACCGGCCCTGTTCCTTTTATGCTCAGTGCTGCATTCTTGTTTGTTCTTAGAAAATGAGAGCGTGTGTTTGCATGAGAATGTGTGGTACAGAAGTGTCTATCTGAGCTGGCCAGAACATTCTGCAAATGTCATATTAAGGACAAGGTGGCTGCTTGGATTGTACAAGGAGCCAAACCACCACACATTCCTAAGCTAAAATAGCATTTGGGACCCAGAGTTCTGTTGACCTGAGCTAGAACCTGAAACCTTTCTCTGTGGTGCACTGAGCTAACATCTAGCAGTTTTAGAGCATCACTGCAACCCTGGAATTAACTGGATTCCCTGACAATACCAAAAATAATGTGTAAGGAACTGAAGCAAAATCCAGCCCTCAGAATTTTTCTAGTTCCTAATGTGGAGCTGGAAATGCTTGTTGGATTTCCACTACCTCTATCTGACAAGGCAGCTGGTTTATTAATATTTCTTTGGCCGAGGCTTTGCTCATAACAGCCGCCCACATCTTGGAGACAGGAAGGCAGGCCAGCCTCCACTGTGTCACACAATTCCTGCTCCCTTCACCTGACCCGAGTCACTGGGTCACTGAAGAGAGAGGGCATGCTATAGATCTGGTTAGTTCAGTCTAGAATAGACTGTGGGAGCTAGGTGAGCGTTTATGAAAAGCCCAGATGTCATGACAACCCAGTTTTGTCCTGGAGTTTGGGTAGAGGTGTAGTACTGGGTCCTGGTCTTAAATGTTGCTGAGTACTTGAGTTCTTTTTGGTTTTCCTCAGATTTTTCCACATCTATTTTCCCCTTTCTGGATTTTGGACAAATCCAAATTGATGTCTGCTAAAGGTTGTATATAATTCAAGAATTTCTTCATATAAAGGCTGCAGGGTTGTAAGGAATCTGTGTGTACTTTCTCTGCTCCTAAATATTTACCCCCAAGTGTTATCATCTTGCATAGATTGTACTTTTTTTGTTAAATTTTTGTGTATATACGTGAATTCATTAGAACCATACATTAACCCTAGGATAGCAGTTTTCAGACATTTTGGTCTCCAAATTATGTTTTTTCCCGAATATAATATGTTAGACATTAGCACTTGTGTCTCTAAGTTTTTTGCCTTCAGATGCAATTTCTGTTCTCCTGCTGATTCACAGCATCGCCAATAAGTCCTGTAGAAAATCAACTATCTCAGTTATCTTTGCTGGTTCTGCATATGTACTAGATACACAGATGATTTTTGTGCTTTGCAAATTAAAATGACAAAATGTTCAATCCAAAAATCTAATAGCTGGATATGGTGGCTCACACCTGTAATCCCAGCACTTTGGTAGGCCAAGGCGGGCAGATCACCTAAGGTCAGGAGTTCAAGACCAGCCTGACCAACATGGTGAAACCCGTCTCTACTAGAAATACAAAAAATTAGCCAGGCGTGGTGGCGGGTGCCTGTAATCCCAGCTACTCGGGAGACTGAGGCAGGAGAATTGCTGGAACCCAGGAGGCAGAGGTTGCAGTGAGCTGAGATTGCGCCACTGCACTGCATACTCCAGCCTGGGCAACAGAGCGAGACTCTGTCTCAAATAAACAAACAGAAAACCAAAAATCTAATAAAAAAATCTAAGCTTATAGCCTGCTGTTTCTGAAAGCTGTGTACCTCTTGTCCCCATGCTACTTTCTCGCATTGAGGACCAAGCTCCTTGGCTGCATGCCTTGAAAGTCATACACCTGTTGGACTTCATTCTGTTGCCTTATTTAATAACAAGGACATGGGCCTGAATCATATCTCCCGGCAAGTGGTATTAAGAATTAAGTGGTAATCATAAAACTTGTTAAGCCTTTTGATTAAAGGTGATGAAAGAATTGTTTATTTTCCCCAACTGCCTGTTTAATGGCAATGTTTTGTAGTATTATGTGTTTCATTTTTTTTAAACCAGTAGTTTTTATAACTCACATTATTACATTCCAAAGACCTGAAAAGGTCCCTAGATCACAGAATAGATAGAGTAAGGAGCCAGTGCTGCTGCTTCGTGTGTCAAACCTGTTAGGAAGATTTATCTGTTAGTTATGTCTCCCTTTGATAGTACTGAGTTTGCAGCCAGAAGAACATTTAGGAAGTTTAATTGTTTTCTTTTGAATAATTGCTGAGATGTATTGCCAAGGCCATAAATGCACTTTATGGTGAGTCAGAATTTCACTTTATACTTCAATCTTTGAGCTTTAATAATTTCATGCCTTCACAATGCAGTCTTGCTATTGTGGGAACCCATTGCTCCAGCCTTCTTCAATCGTTCGTCTAGGCCTGGCACTGTGGCTCATGCCTATAATCCCAGCACTCTGGGAGACCGAGGCTGGCGGATCACTTGGGATCAGGAGTTCGAGACCAGCCTGGCCAGTGTGGTGAAACCCCAGCTCTACTAAAAATACAAAATTAGCCAAGCGTGGTGGTGGGTGCCTGTAGTCCCAGCTACTCGGGAGGCTGAGGCAGGAGAATTGCTTGAGCCCAGGAGGTGGAGGTTGCAGTGAGCCACGATCACACCACTGCACTCCAGCCTGGGTGACAGAGCAAGACTCTGTCTCAAAAATAAATAAATAGAAAACAGTTCATGTAGCAAAAAAGAAATTGACCCCAGTTTCATTGCAGGGAGGGGAGGGATGATTCAGGTTACAAATGGGATGAGGCATTAATTGTTCACTTTCCTTTGCTGGAAAAAAATGGAGGATTTTAAATATTATTTTCTCCTTTTACAGTCAGAAAAATCCTATTTGCTAATTCTAAACGTACTATTTTTTGAAAGTGTATCCTAGCGAGATACTGTTAATTGATATCAAATTTTAGTGAGCCACAGTTTGAAAGAGTTTTAATAAAAGACTATCATAAGGCTGGGTGTGGTGGCTTATGCCTATAATCCCAGTCCTTTGGGAGGCCAAGGCAGGTGGATCACCTGAGGTCAGGAATTTGAGACCAGCCTGGCCAACATGGTGAAACCCCATCTCTACTAAAAATACAAAAAATTAGCTGGGCATGGTGGTGGGTGCCTGTAATCCAAGGTACTGAGGAGGCTGAGGCAGGAGAATCACTTGAACCCAGGAGGCAGAGGTTGCAGTGAGCTGAGATCATGCCATTCCATTCCAGTCTGCAACAAGAGCAAAAGTTCATCTTAAAAAAAAAAAAGACTGTATGATAAAAAAAAAAAAAAAAAAAGCTTTTTTGCATAAGCTTTATTACATAGACAAAATTGGGTGACCAAAATAATTTTGTATTATAATATTTTAGTAATTTTGTATTTTAATACAAAATTCTTCTTGAGAAGCCGTCATATTGGCAAACCTTCCCTC